CTTCGTCGATCTGCCTGTTCTGCTCCCCACTCTGTCTCTGGTGAATCCTCTCACCCTCCCCATCTCTGGCCTGTACCCCAGTTCTGTACCAATAAATAAATAAATCTTTAAAAAAAAAATTATTGCCTAATTGCTCTATGTATTCTAGCACTATGTTGAATAGTAGTGATAAGAAAGAGCATCCTTGTTTGCTCCTGACCTGAAGAATAAAACTTTCAAACTTTCACCATTGAGATGTTATAATGCCTATAGGCATTGATTATGATGAGGTATGTTCCTTCTAACACAGATCAATAAGATTCTATCATAGAGTGATTTTAAATTTTATTAGGTTCTTTTCTGTATTGCAATGATTACTTGATATTTATCTTTTATTTTGTTAATGTTGCATATCACACATATATTGACTTTATGATATTGAACCATTCTTGTATCCCAGGGATAAATTCTACTTGGTGAATGTTATATGATCTTTCATGTGCTGGTCAATTTGGTTTACTAGTATTTTGTTGAGAAATTTTTGCATTTATATTAATTAGGGATGTTGGCATACATTCTTTTTATAGTGTTCTTACCTGGTTTTGGTTTCAGAGCACTGTTAAACCCATAAATGAGTTGGAGATTGTTCCCTTTTTCAAGATTTTGGAAGAGTTTGTATAGGATTTGTGTTATTTCTTCTTTACATGTTTTATAGAACTCACTATTGAAGCCACCTATTTTTGAGATTTTCTTTGTAAGGTTGCTCTTGAATACTGATTCAATCTCCCTGCTCATTAGTAAGCTACTCAAATTTTATACTTTTTTTTACAGTTTCACATAGATGTAAAAATGTATTACATTATATAAATTTAATGTGTACAGCATAATTATATGTACATATGCATATACACACATGCATACTGTGACATGATCATCATATTAAGGCTATGTAAAATTCATCACCAAACTTAGCTACACATTTTTTCTTTTGCTGAGAAATTTTATGATATAATCTCTCATCAATTTGAAATAAATTAGCAGTATTGCTAACTTTAGTCGCCATGCTATTACCTTTCCAAAACTTAATTATTTTATAACTAAATAATTTTGTTATTTATATATAACAATACTATGCTATGGAAATTTGTACCTTTTGTCTACCTTCAACCTATTTCCTTCACAACCAACAAACAGTTCTCTGTTTTCATCTGATTGGTTTTATTATATTCCACATAAAAGTGATACCATAATTCTCTGAATTATTCCATTAATCAAGGTGCCCTACAGTTTATCTCATGTGGCAAAGGCATGCTTTTCTTTTTCATGACTGAATGAT